CATTTCTCAGAGGGGTAGGTCAACCACCAATCAGTTATCATCTATTAACCATCCATTAACCATATAATAACCACATAATAACCATATATTAATCATTATTAACCATCATTAATCACCATCATTAATCAGTTATCATCTATTAAGCATCCATTATCAAGAATGGCTCAGTATTGAATCCACACCCGACCAATCGTCCGGCAGCCCAGGTTGGTTGGAGGCCAAAAATGATGACCAGGCAACGTCCGACGTCCAAGAAGTAAGTCAGGTAAGTGGTCAGTCATGGAAAGTCTTCCAAGTACCAATTGGATACACCAATGGATGTTACTTGGTGTATTAAACTTTTTTCCAAGTTACCAAGTGGTTGGTGTATCCAATTGAAATGGATTCCAATGTTTCTACAAATGGATTCCAATGTTTCTACTTTGGTCATTTTTTCGTGGTAACTCATGGTAACTCATTGAAAACAACGGATCAAACACAGGTCATTTTCCGACTAATTGCCATAGGAGACCCCCATCTTTGAATGAACCATAACCGATCCCCAATCCTACCACAAAAGGTTGGTATAAAGTTTATAAAGCACATCCGGTTGGATACGGGCGTGGCATTGGGTATACCGTATGATTGTACTTGTTTGTTGATCCTGGGATTCAAAGTGCTTGGCTTTCGGCTAGATTCTGAGTAGGAAGCCGTTCAGCTTTCATAGCCATCTAGACGAAATGAATCGAAATGAGAAACGCTGTGCTTTTTTGAGCAGTGGCTGCGATCTACCCCTGCTGGTTGATCAAGTTGGGGATTCTACTAACCAATATATTGGAGAGTATCACAATCCACGGGAATCATGGTCTCGGCCGGGGAGGTGCTGGCTCTTATTGCGATTTGTTTGTCAGTGTTTAGGGTTGATGGTCAGAAAGGAAATGAATGGTATAAACAAGACATCTGATGTAGACAATGTGTCACCTGGCGCACATTCAATTGCAAACAATTGACATATGAATGTATGGGAATGTATGCAATGTACATAAACAGAGAGACAATTTGACAGATACAAATCCTGTGCGCAATGTTTATGTGTCTCATTTTCCCATGTACTTCCTATATGGCACTATATGGTCCTGTATGTTCTTTGCACAATGTGGAAATCATGCCATGCAGCGCATACTGAGTCATGTCTGCAACATGCACCTTGAACCCCTGTGGAAGAAGGCACTCCCAGTTGTAAGTTGGTTTATAACTCCAACAAACTCCATCCAACTATAGATCCGGCACATTGCTGCAGGTCACTCACTACAACATCTACTTGGGCTTCGAGTGCACCGAAAACATCACGCACCCTGGGTCAAATCGGAACATTGGGGAGTTTGGGGTAAACCTTGGTTGCTGTAAGTACTTGCCATACATAGTTTCTGCATGTGCTAAGCCGTTAAAAACCATTGCGAAGCCTTGCAGGGTAACGAAGTTTGGCCCAAAAGATGACAGAAATCAACTGGTGAACCGTGCGCAGCGGCAACAAAATCCATTTACCGCACTTTGGTGGGCCAAAACAAAGCATTTTGGCAGACACAGGGCCCTTTTTGAAAGCTCACATCAGGGTAGAGTCCCATTGAGTGATATCCCCATCTGGGTTTGTCATAGGATTCCCCTGAATAAAACTGGTCAGTCAAAAAAAATCTCATCAAAACCGCCGTAACTTTGGGGATAATTTCACTGGTTTCAGACACATCCAAATCCGTCCAAGTCCTGTTAATTGTTGGTTATATATATATATATATCGCATGGAAATATCACCATGTTGGCTAGTCAAATCCGCATGAAGGATGATGAAACAACCATGAAACTATACCACTATGCCATGGTTTGTCGTATACCATCCCATCATATCCAATTATATCCCCATAGAATGTTTGGTGGATATGTATAAGATGATAATTTAATAAGATACATACACAATCATACATATACATATATACATTTGGGTAAATTATAACGATCTCACTGTTCTCCCTCACTGAAATCATGGTTAGTAAGGGGAATCATCCCCAAATAGCCCAACATTTCAGGTTAGTGAAATATGAGAATTTACCCAGATGATGGTAGTTTCAAACATGTTTTATTTTTCCATATATTGGGAAGAATCATCCCCATTGACTTTCATATTTTTCAGAGGGGTAGGTCAACCACCAACCAGATTATTAACCATTATTAACCATATAATAACCATACATTAACCATTATTAACCATATAATAACCATACATTAACCATTATTAACCATATAATAACCATACATTAACAATTATTAACCATATAATGACCATATATTAACCATTATTAACCATATAATGGATGGTTTATAATGGTATACCACCAACCATAATCATCCTGGAGTAGATGGAAGTTTCTCCACAAATCCTCAGGCTTCCGGCCAGCTCGGAGCTGCTAGCGGTGACTTGGCGGCGCCATACATTGCTTGGAGGGATTTCATAGGGATTTCATAGGTATTTAGTAGGAGTTATAGGGATTTCGTTGTGTTTTTGGGGACTTGATGGTGATTTCATGGGATTTAAATGGATTTTACATGATCTTACGGTGATTTATAGGAATTTCATGGGACTTCATGGTGATTTAGAGTGAATTCTCCATGAAGAATTGTTATTTGAAGGGATATCAATGGACATATCTTGGAATATTTAGGGATTTAACCATTATAACCTGGTTGGTGGTTTCAAACATGTTTTATTTTCCATAATATATGGGATAAATCTTCCCATTGACTCATGTTTTTCAAGATGGTTCAAACCACCAACCAGTAACGGGATATCACGGGAATCTATTGCGAATCTAATTTTAACTAAATGATCAACTTGATATGATGTTTGGGTGTGTTTGGGACATGGATTGTACCCTAAGATTGGTATTTTAATGGGTGGGACACTAATGGTTGACCGATGCATTCTGGCGTACCCTATCTTCAGACAAACCCGTGTTCAAAAAGAAACTCAAGGAAAACCGAGTTGACATGTATCGGCTCCATTGATTATTTGGGCCCATAAATATTGGGGGTATATTGGGGGTATTGGATTGTATACGTGGAGATACAATCACACTTATGTTGACTGGCCCAGCACATTTTACCGACCATGGAGATGTAACCCGTGCAGTCACCATTGATGGGCATGGGATGATCGTCCCGACCTTCATTTTCGGCGACAGTCCCCATGTTTTTAGGACCTTAAAGACGCCAGTCGCCTGACGTAAATCGCGACCTGAAAATCTGCAGATTCTGCGGAAGAAACGTCCGTATTTGGGAGGTGCGGCTTAGTTCAGCCCCATTTTGCGGTTGCGTTTCAAGAACAGCCAGGTCATTCCTTATCACCCGAGCAGTCTTCAAAATCCCTTTTGGTTGGTGATTATAGGAGGCTATATTATCCATTGTATATCATATAGGGATTTATCACAATCCATGAGCTGGGAAACCAGTTCTCACGCAACCAGCATTTCATGGAATGACAGGTTGAGTACACCCATAGATGTGAACCCATAGATATCCCCATATCAAGTTGGTGATGTCTCACTACAATCGGTTAAAACCCGGCATGCATATATATATATATATAATGCACATATATATATATATAAATTACATTGTGTATATACAGTGTATATACAGTGTATATACATATACATATATATATATAATACATCTATATACATATCCCGAGATATCCCCATTATACCACCACGTTTGCCGCTTAAGAAACCCAATATAATTCCAAGATAATCCCAGTAGCACCTCAGAAACCGCTATTTATTGCTGCTCAAGTCACCAACTAGAATGTACAAAATCCCATAAAGCCCTATAAGATCCTATATATCTGGGTAAATTATAGGTCGACCTCACTGTTCTCCCTCACTGGAAATCATGGTTTATTTTAGGGAAATTATCCCAAATGGCCCAACAATTCAGGTTAGTGACATATTCCAATTTACCCAAACATATACATACATATCATAATATGATATAATCATCCTGGAATAGATTGATAGAACATGGAGTAGATATACACAATCCCAATAAACCCTATAAGATCTTATATATATACACACACTTATAAAATCCCAACAGTTCTATGGGATTGTCATATTGTAACCTCCATTGAGTAACCGGGGATTTCCCGGCCATGTTACAATGTTGACGCTGGATGGTATCAATCAAGATTCCATTCATATACCGTTAATCATTAATATTCCATTACAAATGATTATCTGACGATGATAATGGGATAATGGAAAATAATCTGATCCCATTCATATATTAATCATTAATCTTATTATATTTGATGCATATCATTGCAAAATCGCACAAAAAAAATGTCCAGGCTGTCCTATCCTAAGATAGCCTATGAATCTTGATAATGGCAATTAACATGGGAATTGATTTTTAGCTTAATACTATATATTATATAACCATGTTCATAGGATATTGCCAATATATGCCCAAAGTCCTATCCTCATCAACATATCCTATGAATTCCCATAACATATTAAACCATGGTAAAGCCAGTGATAAGTCAACTGAACTATCATAAATCAGACTCTATATCCCATGAAATCACCATTTTTTTTCTGTTTGGTGGTTTGGAACATGAATTTTATGACTTTCCATATATTGGGAAATTCATAATCCCAACTGACGAACTCATATTTTTCAGAGGGGTAGGTCAACCACCAAGCAGTTTTGCTTAAATCATCAAGATCCTCTACAAAGCGGGGCCCCCGTTCGATAGCTAAGTTGGTGCACATAACTCCAATAACAATGGTTTATGGTACGCAAATAACTATAGTTACTGGGGATTATAAACCAACTTATTGTAATATAACTATAGTTATAAGTACTTAATAATCCATAATATCCATAATATAACTGGTACTTATAAACCAACAAACATCACTGGGATTTGTTGGGTCGCCTGAAATCCACCAGAGGTCATCAGCGGTCGGATGCAGTTCACCTTCAGCGGCAGCCTCCAAGAGTTGCAGAGCGCAGTCATCGCGGCGTTGGCGCAGCAGCTGCAGGCGGTGACTGGATTTGGGGACTTGGAAAAGCGCTGTTTGGATTACAGTAGCCTCTGGTTATGTCAAAATGAATGGGATTTATAGTGATTTAATGTGATTTAATGGGATTTTATAGTGATTCAATGGGATATTAATGGGATATAGCCTCTGGTTATGTCAAAATAGCTATTGAAAATGACTATTTATAGTGGATTATACCCATTGAAAATGGTGGATCTTTCCATAGTTATGTTAGTTTACCGGAGGGTAGCATCAACAACGGGATTGAAGGTGTATTTGAAACGCGGGACATACAAAAGGAGGATTTGGAATGGCAATTGGGAATTCATGAAAAATTCGCTGTTGTTGCGTGGGTTTCACATGAGGGAGAATGGATATGCAGCTACCTTGAAAAGGATAAGATTTGCAAAAATTAGATCACTCCGTTGCCGAACCCATAGGATCCATGTATGCTATATATGGTAACATTTACCATCAATATACCCCCAATGTTAGCATATATACCATACATGGATCCTATGGGTAATGTAAGCTTTGTTTCTTAGGTGATAGCCCACATGTTTCCTCCAAGACGCGCAGGTCGCCAGCTCTTCGATCTATGTGCAGGTGGTGTGAATCTGACGACTAGGGGATGGTCAGCCTCCAGAAGATCCTATTGTGTCAATCCATAGAGAACGATAGATATAGAATATTGCATATATATATATTTATGAATAGGTTATATATTTTCCAGATGGGTTCAAACACCCAACCAGATATGGTAAGGTCACACCATGTTATATATAAGAAAAAAACATTGTAGTATGGATTCTTGTACATGGATAGCCAAAAAGAAGCAAAAGATCCGATAGAGTTTACGAAAAAATCTGGCTCCAAACATCTTCTGATCGAATAATTTTGAATATACAGTGTAATATCATTTCACATCATACCATAGGAAGTAATACTGTGGATATATAATTATATATATAGGGATTTCCATAAATGGGGGTACCCCAAAATGGCTATGAACAATGATGATTTAGGGGTACCCACATGACTCAGGAAACCTATATATATATATATGTATACATAGACACACACACACATATATATATATACACACAAGTTCTCTTCTATAGAAACACATATGGCTAGACTGGCCTTCTTCCTCAGGTGGTTCCCCCCACGGGCCGGCGGCTCGCTGCCGGTGTTTGGTCGGTGGACTATGTGGTGGTGCTGTCAGCGGATGAGGCGTCAGAGATCAACTTGTGTTGCCTGGGAAAACGACTAAAGAATGAGGTTTAAGTGGGTTAATAGCCAGTAAACTAACCCATAAGATCCATGTATGCTATATCCGGTAACATTTACCATCAATATACCCCAAATGTTAGTTATATACCATACATGGATCCTATGGGTAACTAATAGCTATGGCAATACAGCATTTATAGATCTTTTACCTAGTTGAAAAAGGTGATTTTCCATATATTAGTTTACAAAAGGATTATCATCCAAAACCATGTGAATTATGGTTTTAACTTTATTTGGTTGATAATTGGTTTCACGGGGTCAATTGGTTGAGCTGGGTTAATCAGATTGGAGATGATTGGTTGATACGCACAGGGTTCGATGGGTTTAACTATATAACACACATATCCAGAAAGCGGACCTCACTAAAAGTGCGGCTTTATTTTAGATTGATGGCCCTAAATATCTCTAAACTATGTTAATTCCATCACGAGATGATTTTTGGAAAAACATGGGCTTCACTAGAATACATATGGACAACCCATGAGGAACCTCCAGCAAATAGTCAACAAACACTCTCGGGTAGCCAGCAAGCAAAATTTGGCGGCTTCACCAGATTTAAGTGAGAAAATATAGGGATGTGACGATGAGAGATAGAACATAGTTCATGGGTACCAGTATGTATTTCATTAAATGTACCATAAGTAGTATCAACTATTCTGGAGGTTTCCATAGATAAAACAATTCATCATCAATTCGGTATCTCCAAAAAATCCGCAGAGTTTCACTGGGAATTTCCATGGGGATTTCACCAGAGATTTTTCCCAACGTCTCAGGCATCCTTTGCCCTCCAGACCTTAGAAGCTGTGCGAAGCGACAGCAGTGGCTTCAGGACGATGGAACATGATGGAACATGATGGAACTGACGAAAACTTGGGATTCAGCACGTAAGATTGGGAAGTTTCATTTCCCATAGGATCCACGTATGGTATATATATGCTAACATTGGGGGTATATTGATGGGATCCATGTTACCATATATAGCATACATGGATCCTATGGGTTTGGATGTCCCAAAACTGGGGATTGAACAAGCAGAAAAATGATGAACAATGGGGGAAAGATGCAGGATCGTGGTTACAAAACCCCACTTGGATGGGCAGATGTTTTTTGTCCGTTCATCCTGTTGCCATTTTCATGGGTGTCAAACCACAGGGGGATTCCCCAAACTAGCCCTCTTAAGAGGGAACATGATCATAAAGCATTTGATTTTGGGGTACTCTACTTTTAGACAAACCTAAATAACTAATATGTACTAACAAACTCTAAGGGGCAGGATATCTAACATTGGACATGATTATATATTCAGTGTGCCTGGCTTGCAATGAGATTCACTTCAGGGATGGGAAATAACAAAGAATTCATTCGTATACCCTCTGGTAAACTAACATAGCAATGGAAAATCACCATTTTTAATGGGAGAAATCCACTATAAAGGGCCATTTTCAATAGCTATGTTAAATTACCAGAGGGTACATCTGTAAATTAGTGTTTTTTGGCAATGGTACATCATGGTATCAAAGACTCCACCTGCAGATTGAAGAATAACAGAAGCCTTGAAGACTCAAATATCTACAGAATTCATGGCATGCGCTGATTTTTCACCATTGCTGGAATAATGTTGGAGCCTTGACATGATTTGGCAAGATTATTTCTGGAATTGGACATAGCTAGTTTGGGATTTACTCCCGGTAATCAAACGCAGCAATGGGATTTTTTTTAACCACTAGTTTAGTTGATTTTCTCAGCTGGGAACCTCCATTTATAGGTTTTTTTGTTCAGCTTGCCATTTTTGAGGACACTGGAGGCTAGATTTAATTTTGTTTTTTTCTTGGCAAAGCCAACAGCATTAGCGTTTGGACTTGCACCAGAGAAATTTTAGGACATGGTTGGATTTTTTGCCATGGAACTTGAGCCATGGATTCTATCATTATTTTAATATGTGTGATTTGTAATCTACACATTCACATGCATACAATAAACAGCACTGTACACATATTTGATATGTAGTATTCAGATATAATTTCTATATGTATGTATGCAACCCTGCATTGTATGATATATATATATATATACATATCGTTGCTATGTTCACATACTTGATGGTACTACTTTCTATATTTCATGTGTCCATATAATCAGTAGATACACATGTATATATATATATATACACAGTCACACATTGTGGCCATGTACCTTTTAGGTCTCTATGTATCATTTTAATTTTCAAACTTTTTAGCCCTGTGCATACGTATTTGCATGCATTTTTTCATGTATATCTATAGTTATACTTGAGTTAAACGAGTTATACTTGGAAACTGAGTTTGACCCTTAAAGATAAAACTATAACCCATTTTTGTTGGGGGCCAAAGTATCAACCTGAAAAAGAAAAAGTGATTTCACTGCGACGTCACTGGAATGATGGTTAGTAACTAACCATCATTCCAGTGGATCATCCTCAAAATCACCTTACTTACCCTCTGGTAAACATACCAAAAACTATGGAACATCACCATAGAAATAGTGAAATTTCCCCTGAAAAATTGTGGATCTTTCCATCGAGTCATCCAGCTATGTATCATCTTTCCCTATAGAATCTAAGATGGATCTGGATATGTTACGGTAATGGGCTACTTCAAAAAGAATATATTCCAAATGTTATTTCATTCAACATCATTCAGATTTCTACAGTCCAATCCATATCCAATCCATTGAGATCACTGGGGTCTATGGATCAATGGATTCCAATCCCCATGAAACAACCGATCGGGATTGAACTCTGAATATTCATAGTTCTATACCCATAAGATCCATGTATGGTATATATATGCTAACATTGGGGGTATATTGATGGTAAATGATACCACATATAGCATACATGGATCCTATGGGATATAGTTCTAGTTTTTGGGTCATTTGGACAAATTTGGAATAGTTGGACATTTATATGGAATCTTTACTTTAGTTAAATTCATCGAACATTTTTGGAATAGTTGGATTTGGAGATATGACAACAAATCAGATAAGAATCCAATCATCCATCTATCTGGGTAAATTTTAACGACCTTACTGTGACCTCACTGGAATCATGGTTAGTAGGGGGAATCATCCCAAAATGGCTTTATTTCAGGTTAATGAATCATTATAATTTGCCCAGATCTATTCCAGATCAATTATCTGATTTATTACTATTAATCTATTCCAATTATCTGATTAATCCAATACTTGTTGGATTTGGATGGCAATCAGATAATCCATCATCAATCAGATATTAATATATATATATATTAATATGACAATAGTAATCAATGTTGTACAATATTCAGTTCATAATCCAATCATCCATCACATCCATCTATTCCAGATCAATGGGATTCCATGGAATATATTGATTTACTATCTATTGATCAATGGATTTGATTCCCCATCTCAAGATCCATGGGTTTAACATGGTTTAACTACGACCCAGCTATAGCGTTGCTGCGACCAGCGGAACCAGGACCTTGCTGGTCGCCCAGCTCTTAGCTGCCGGCGCATCGAGCGATGTGGTGTCGTCCCTGGTGGCTGGCTGGTCGTTAAGTCTCGATGGGACGAGACGAGACGAAAATGGTGGATTTCTTCATGGAAAATGGACGGGTTTAAGGGTCTAAGGGGAAGTCTTAACGAGAAACCATGGTTTTGACCATTAAATAGGTTTTTACCATTCAATATGGTGGTTTCATGGGTTTAATGGGAAACTCTGAACCGGAAACCATGGTTTTGACATTCAAATTATGGTGGTTTCCTGTAAAATTAAACCAGTAAACCAATCCAATGATTGATGGAAAATGATGGGATCACCCTTAAAATGGTGGGTTTTTGCCAATGAAATTCTCGAGGGATTCAACTGGGGTTCACCGTGACGTGGGTTGAATCCTTATAGGATTTCACAACCTCATCAAAACGAAGCAAAAATTGGGGAAGTCCGGGAAACAAAAACCATTGGGATTTTGGGATTTTATATGATTTTATAATCTTAACTCATAAACATGTTGTCATGACAAGTGGGTTTTTGTTTCCACAAACATGAGAAAACCAAGCAGACGTGACATATCGTGACGTGATTGATCTTCTCCAAATAATTGCATTTTGAGGGGGTGCAGTATTGCTTTGCTTCCTGTCAATTTGAGACCCGCAAACGAATTGGGCAAAGTTGGCGTTCACGAATATATAGCCCGAATCGCATTCATTTTGGGGTACAGGCGTGTAGTGTTGACCCGGGTCGCCAATCTCCATCGACTGTTACTCCTACACTTTGTTGTGGACCCAATAACTGTTTGTCATACTCAATTACTATCTATAATCCTGAAGCCAGTTGGTGAATATGCTATTTGTCGGTTTTGTACAGTTACCCATTGCTGATGGTGATATCATTGATTTTTACCTGGTTGGTTGTTTGGAACATGAATTTTATTTTTCCATATATTGGGAATGTCATCATCCCAACCGACTTTCATATTTTTCAGATGGGTAGGTCAACCACCCATGTTCATGATCTCCCTATGGTTAAACCATGTTAAACCATTAAAAACCTAGTCTAACCATTAAAAATCATTTATCCCCATCATATCCCACTATTATCCCCATTAATGATGGTGATATTATTGATTTTTACCATGTCAACCATGGTTTAGTAGGGAATTTCCACATAATTGGGACCATAGAAATGGGGTGTTTAATATTAGGGTGATGGGATTAATTATTGATTTTTACCATGTCTACAAGGTGGTGCCCCCGTTCGATAGCTAAGTTGGTGCAAATAACTCCAATAACTATGGTTTTTGTTGGTGATATATCTATAGTTAATGGGATTATAAACCAACTTATTGCCAATTTATAGATGGTTTACCTATTAAAAATGGTGATTTTCCATGGCTATGTTAAATAACCAGATGGTAATATTAGGGTGATGGGATGATTGATTTTTACCATGTCTAGACGCACCAACCACCTGCCGACCGTCAGGTCATCACCGACATCGGCCCGGCCTCGCTTCGACTGGTGGCGCCAGATGTCGCGCTGCCGTCGCTGCTGCCGTCGCTGCCCAACGCCACAAGGGCGGCGGGCAACAGCACGGAGGACACCGAAAAATGGCAGGTGAAGATTTCAGAAGTTCATCCGAAGGGAGATTGAACATCACCCAACCATTAGGTATATGGTCTATAATGGCTACTATAAGGTGATGTCCAGTATTCCCAAAATGGGACAGTTACCAACCCCTGTTGAAGAAGCCAAGTTCTTGCAAGTCTTTGATCCATGTACTGTGTGGTAAATAATTTATAGTAATTTAACAAAAATCATAAAAGGAATTAAGTACCCGATCAATCAGGCCTGGGGATATTTTTTGGTCATTGCTGGTCAATATCCGGATCAGTGTTGGGAAAACTTGCCTGTTTTCTCCTGGCCAACCCCTTCAAATAGGCAGCATGATCATCTGATCATAAGATCAATCGATAACACATATCCTTCGGTCATTTAACATGCGAAAAAATTGCCCATTAAAGAACATATTTAGCTATTAACATGCACAGCTATGTTGGATTACCAGAGGTCACTACATATCACTAGTGAAGTTTCCCTTTCAATTGACTCTGGTTGCTGGTTTGGAACATTTTTTATATTCCATAATATATGGGATAATCCTTCCCATTGACTCATATTTTTCAAGATGGTCAAAACCACCAACCAGGACTTGTTGATCATATTCCTGTATTTGATGGTTAAAGAATGTGATGGTTAAAGCCCAAGCGTACCAGGCGTACCATCAATCCTGAGCTTCAGGATACCGCATATCCATATATTACGTATTGAATAATCGTTGATTTTCTACACCGTTAAAGTGCTCGTTATAGTTAATCGTTATTCATCGTCATATGACTGGAATTTAATGACTGAACTTAACCATAAATAACAATGATAATAACAATGATAACAATAACAATAATAGTAATAACATATACATCAATATATATATATATACATATTTATACATATTTGTACATATTTAAACTGGAACGTTGTATCAAAACAACTTCATACAAATAGAGATTATGTTTTATTTATTAAATTGGGATGACTATTTACTTATTGTAATGTTATATATATATATAATCCATCATGTTTTTTGTTTGTCATCATTATGTAGTTCTATAACCAGAATAGCAAATTAAGTATATTATATTATCCATCATTGTTCTATATATATATAATCCCCAAATTCTATAAATTTCTCACATCACCAGCTGATGCGCCTGGGAGCCAACAAAAAGTATACCATCTGGGAGCCTCACAGCCCAGTGGTCCCAATGGTCCCAGGACTCTGATGCGGAGTCAGGGACAGATGACTCAGAGGCGCAGCATCGTTTTCCATCGTTTTCCATTTGGAAAGTTTGGTGACCCATCAATTCATAGTGAAAACCCATAGTAATGGTGAAACTATCCATTTTCCATTTGAAGATGGTGAAAAGCCATAGTCAAGTCATTGTGAAAATGATGGTTGATGATTGTTAAAACATGTTAAAACTCGTCTTGATGGTGAAAATGATGGTTTATATGATTGTTTAAACTATGATTCAACCAACCATCAAGGAGGATTTAACTATACACAATGATTTACAATTTGAATGTCAAGAATTGGGGTTACGATGAAACGTTGACATATTTAATTGAGAACAAATTGGATTTCCCAAATGTGTGCCTTACTCTAAACATGGGGAATACGCCAAAACGGCAATTTCAATGGCAAAATCGATGAGCGGCCATCGATTGTGCAGGAAATTATAATGTTTCCTAACAAACCCACATATCATCTGGTTGGGTGTTTGGAACATTAATTTTATTTTTTCCATATATTGGGAATGTCATCATCCCAACTGACGAACTCATATTTTTTAGAGGGGTAGGTCAACCACCAACCAGATCATATCCCAGTTTTAAGAGATGAATTACAGCCTGGTTGGTAAGCTACAGACCAAAAGCAGGCTGCAGATCCTTTTGTGTTGCCGTTGCTGGGGTGAAGATCAAACAATAACCTCTACAACTGGGCCACATGGACTGCAGCGTAGATGTTCGACCGCCATATTCCTGCCATATTGTGTCAATATGTTTCACGTAATCAAGACGCACGATTCTACATGATTTTTGGAAATTCTCATGAAGCGTTTGTTCAATGCACACCGAGTCTGAGTATTGCATTCTGAGTTGCCATGTAACCTAGGTAAGCTCGACCTTCCAAAGGAAGTGAAAGGCTGTTTCCTCTGGAAGGATGTAGATCACTGAACGTTGTATTGTGGTGCCATGGTAGAAGACATGATATGGGCAATCATTCCGATCCCTGCAAGAATAAGCTAACTCCATTTTTTCAACATGAAGAGATTCAATAGTAATTGAGGCTTTTGTTCTTAATCTTTATTGTTTAATCTGGAACTAAGCACAAATTGCTGGCTTGCCGTTTCACAAAAAAACACTTGGAATATGGATAAATATATATATATATAATATATACATATGGAACATCAATGGAACATGGACCACAAAAAACAGGTGATTTCAGGTGGCTGCCACCCCTCGTCTTTCCCCTTCCCTTCTTTGCCAGGGCAATGCGACGGCCACCTGGGGGGCCACTGGTCCGAACCCAGACTGGGACCATCCAAGAGGGATGTGTGAAAAATGGATGGGTGTGTTATATTCCCATCACATGTGTTATATAATTATCTCATATCATGAAATATAACACATGACCATCCTATTATTATCTATTATTATGGCTGGTTGGTGGTGACTGGAACCATGGAATTTTGAATGACTTCCCATTCAGTTGGGAATGGAATAACCATCTCAAGTGATGAACTCATATTTTTCAGAGGGGTTGAAACCACCAACCAGATGGGATGAACTTCGGATGAACTATGATTCCATAATTATCCCAATTATATCCCCATCATATCTCACTATTATCCCCATCTTTGAGGGCAGATCATGTTGAACCATAGCTCCTCGCACACCGACCTCAGCCCTAAATGGATGATTAGTTTGTCTTAGGCAAACCCCGAAAACTATCAAAGCTGTTCTTACTTTTTGGGGGTTTAATGATAATGTGCCCAGAAAAATGATATGTTTATTTTGACCAGTGATCTTTTATTAGCTGCAAGTAAACCCTCATAGTTCCTTTCTTTCCCGTTCTTTCAGGATTTGCAAATAGCGGGAAGCTGAGATTCGTTGACTCTTTGTCAATCCTTTTTGGGTGAACATGGTCAACATACTCAGGCAGACTTGCCCATATGCTCCATGGTGCTGGTATATTTACCTACATTTGGGTGATTTTTTAGGACAAATGTTGGGAAATAGTCCATACATGGAGCATATGGTTTAGGTTGAATAGAACCTATATTTTGCGAATCTGTGGGTGTGAATGGGTAAAACATGCCTGATATGTTGGAAGCATATGCCCGAAGGCCACTTTTTTGTTTGTGGCTGCTTCGGCATCAGATGAACATCATCCTAAATGAATTTCAGACACAGTTTCAAGATTGGACTTCTTATACGTATGTATGCAATATATACAGATGTATATTATATGGATATGATATGTTTTTTTTTATTTATTTTCTATCTTTAGGTGATATCAGTATCATAAAAACAGCTTCTTCTGAAGCTGTTGACCCAACATATCGATGTCCGAGCTCAGGTGCGGCGTCTTTCTGCCAACACCAGCGATGTCGAGGTCGGCGATGAGATGGTGTGGGCCATCTGTGATGGCATTTCACGCACCAAAATACGGTGAAAATACAGTGTGTTGTTTGTTTTTAATGGCAATTTTATTGTTATTAGCAATAGATGATGATAAGATATTGCCATTAATTTGTTTTTTGTTTTTAATGGCAATTTTACCATCTGGTTATGACATTGCCAGTTCGCCATGGAAAGATCCACCATTTTATAGCTAGGTAAATCATCTATTTCTATGGGCCATCTATACCATGGCTATGTTAAATAACCAGAGGGTATTGTTATTAGCCATAGATGATGATAAGATGGTGTTATTTTGGTGTATGACATATTGCAAAGTTATTGCTAATAGCAATGCAATGTATGTAATACCAAAACATACCAATTGCTGTCATACACCAAAGCATGACTGCTTGACGATCATGGCACCCTCTGGTTATTTAACATAGCCATGGTATAGATGGCCCATAGAAATAGATGGTTTACCTAGCTATAAAATGGCGGATTTTTCCATGGCTATGTTAGTCATTACTAGAGGCTAAACCTCTATTTTCGTATGGTTTTCCTATGGTTTTCCCATTAAAGCCTCCATTTTCCATGGCTATGTTAAATAACCAGATGGTAACTACTGTTGTATTTCACCCAACAAAGTGCATTTTTGTTGGCTTATGGGGGCCTGAAGCCTCCAACCGGTCGGTCATTTTATGATCTATTCAGGTGTGTGGACGTGGCTGTGAAGATAGCGACTTGTTAACCCTCCCCAATTTACGGCAGTTTCAGTTGGACAATGATCATTAAACATGACAAATTGAGTTTTTTTGATTTCCGACATTTTCAAGTTAGCCACATGTGCCATGGTGTTCTTTTTTGTATCTACATACATATAATGTGGATGATGATCATTATATACCCATTAAGGATATCCAGTAGTAAGTTTGGGATGACCGCAACCCATATACCCATTCGTGTATCCCATGATATTCCCAATATAAGTCCATTCATGCCACCAAAGTGTTGATTAAATCATCGTTTTGGTTGGTTAAATCAGAAGACCCCAAAGTGGCCAATTTTATAGATAAATGTTTCATTATCCCGCTAAACTTAGCCAGTTACTGAATACTACCAAGTCTAAGTTTGTGATATATTCCAGTATACCCCCATTAATATCCGAGTGAATCCCTATTCTTTAATGGTTGGATCCAGATAGCTTTACATTCATATATCCGTTAGATCCATATCCATACCCATTTGCAGGGTGGGTTTATACCCATGTAGTTCCTACAGTTCTATCCCCTGATTTAACGTAGCTATTATTAATACTGATTGGTGGTTTGGATCATTTTTTATGTTTCCATATATTGGGAATAATCATCCCAACTGACGAACTCATATTTTTCAGAGGGGTT